TGCATGGACTGGATTGCTATCAATAGTGGCGAACAACAACAAAACTTCAAGAACATGATTTCCATGAGTAACATATGGGAGGCCTTCAAAGGCTAACAGCCACAAACCTGTAGGGACNAATGAAAGAGTTGTCTGATAGCTCTTCAAGCAGCTCCGCTGCAAGTCTTCACCTTCACCTCAAATAGTTTAGTTGAGAAGAAGGGTGAAACATATGACACTTGTTAAAGGAAGAAGAATATTAAGGCCAAGCCACGTAACAACCTCAACTGGCAGAACTACACCATCCACCACTTAATCAACATCAGAATCCACACAACAAGAATCATCCTCTACTACTCCACCAACTTATATGCAAGAATTTAGAAGGAAGAAGGAATTAACACAACCATACACTGTAGGAGGAACTAAAGAAGAAGATGATGCCAATGAAGAAATTAAAGAGGAAAAGGAGGAGGAGTACTTTGACAAATATTCCTCCACTGGACCATAATTCTAGCCATCCTCCAACCAAGTTCTTTTTAAATTTTCTACATTTTAAATTCAGCAATTTAATTTTCTTTGCATGATGTTTCGATTAAGTTTAAGAATAAGTAGAATAGGTTGTGAATAGTTTTGAACACTGCCACGGTTAATGATATATACTGTGTTAGGGCCCTTTTTGGAAACAAAGTTTAGATAGCAATTTGAACCAATGAAAGCCAAATTTTTAGTTTGCAAGACTTCGAAAAACAAAATTTTACTAAACTTTAAAATGATGCATAAGTTGAATCAATTGGACCAAGTGTAGTAAGAGGAAGATGAGAGAAAAATTGAGCGAATTGAGAGATGTGAGGGTCCTAAGATAATTGGATGAAGCACCCTACCAGGTTTTGTGCTACATCTCTAGAGGAATATGTAACTTGACAATTGAAGGAAAGAATATTTGTGTTAATCAATGAGCCAGAACAGGCCTACCCGAAACAAGTTGTTGAATCTCTTTTTAGTACCAAGGCATGTATACACACTCCTTTAAGCCTAAAACAAAATTATCCACCCTTATCACTAAAAAAGGATGAGAAATTATGAGTGGTAGTAACCTTGGAAAAGAAAAGGAAGGTTGGACAAAGTTTGAAAAGAATGGACCTAATCTAAAAAATCAAGAACAAAAGGAAAAAGGCTCTAATAAGCACACACAAAAAAAAACTGAAAAGAGAAAAATTGCAAACAAGGTCCATAAATAAGGAGCTAAAAAGGTCAAAAATTGAACACAAAATATGTCAAAGACCTTGAAAAGTTAAAAGAAAGAAATGAACTCATTTTGCTACTACTTGCTCATCTTTTCCTAAGTGATTTTGCATAACATAAAAATCATGAATTTCTTTGCAACCCAACCTCATTACAATTCATACAAAGTCCTTGATATCTTTGAAGGTTGAGTCTAAGAAATATTATGATGGTAAATCTCCTAGCCATGGTCAAGAATTTTCAAGAGAATGGAAGTCATCCATGAAAATGGTATCAACTCTATCCTGTGGGCTATCTTTGGAGCCATCATGGAGCATGGATTGAAGAGTAGTGTAGGATATTTAGGCCATTGTATACGACCATGTAGTGTAACTTTGTTTAAGGCTTGTATTAAGGCCTAAGTAGCATAAGATTTTCTTTAAGTTAGATATCCAAACCAAGTGGAAAGTGTGTGTCATGTGTCATGCTTCCATTGGAGAGGATTTTCTTTCTAGAAGTGGTCACATGGCACCCTAGGAGTGGAGAGAATTTCTTTTTTATAGTAGCCACATGTCCCTTCACCACTGGAGAGGATTTTCTTTTAGTAGTGGCCACATGGTACTCTAGGAAGGAGAGGATTGTGTTTTGTGAGTAACCACATGTCCTCCTATTGTTGGAGAGGATTTTTGGACACTTGTCCACTCCTTAGAAGGCCTCATTTTTGGCTGATAAGAGCAAAGGTGGGAGATCATGCTTTTAGGGTTAGGAGAAGATATCCTTGGCCTATAAATAGAGGTGTCTCCACTCTTGTATTTCATCTTGAACTAATGTAATGTTATGCTGCCAAATTATGGTCATACACTTCCTAGATCAAGACTAGAGCAATTCTAGAGACTCCTATAGTCACCTTTCTCCTTGAGTTGGTCTCATGACATCAAAACATCATCACACCACCACCATCTAACCTTGAGGCTGTGAGAGCTTTTACCCCTTTCACCACCATATCTCATCAACCTTGAACCTTTCCCACCATATTTCGCACCATATCTCCAAGGAAACACCCTCTCCATGCACATCTTCTAGTTTTGGCCCAACCTAGCTAAGGAGATTGTTATCATATTCATGAAGATGTGATACAAAGAATGGAAAGATTTGAATTCCATTGTAATGAGTGAAACACTAAAATACGAAAAATCTCCTTATGCAAACACGAGAGTGACTTTATAAATTTGCATTGTTTCCATGATGTGAAGGCTTATGCTTTGATCTTTTCTTTGAATGAAATGTGAATTGTTTTTCAAATCTAGCATGTTTTTGGAAAGAAAACAGACATGAATTTAGATTGTAAACCAAATTGTTGTCTATAGATATGTTAGTTAAATTTCAGACTTGTTTAAGGGAAAACAATGTTTAAAGTTGGGAGTGTTAATAAGTACTTGAAATTAGTAATTTTCATCGTTAAATTAACACTTATCTTGTTTTGATTATGTATAAAATTTATGATATCTACCCCAATTTAACTTGTTTTGCAGGAACATAAGAATCTGAGGAGTTAATCTATTAATTGAAAAGAAAATAGAATAAATACAACATTTTTTGAAGGATCTGCCTTATCATGACTGTAATGTCACTTTAAGCCACAAAGAAAACCCACTCAAGAAATTTTCTTCAAGCCACGAATTAAAGCTTGAGCCATGAGAGAGTAGTTCATTATTAAGCAATTACAAGAAGCTCTAGCCTAAAACTTCATAACTTAAGCCACAAAGGAAACTTACTAAGGTAGAAAACCTTAACGTTGGAGCCATGAACCATCGCTTGAGTCATGCTTTGCATGTCTATAAATAAAAGAATCTTGGACAAATTCAAGAAAGGTGAAAAAGAAGAGAGAAAAACTTTGATCTAAGCTTTCTTAGGGTGATTCTAGAGAGAGACTTCAATGAATCTTCTCACATATCCTTGTAAATTAAAGATATATCTTTAGAGGATTAAGAGATGTTTTCCTCTTCATTGCATGTATTTCTTCCATTATTCATGAGGAGCTAAACCTTTATTGTGTTGGAACATGATGTTTGATGCTTAACATTTGATCTAGGAGGAATTCATGTGGATCCCAAGAAATAAAGAAATAAAGTCATTCCAAGATAGTATGCTCCCAAGAATGTGAGGAGTTTCTTATACAATAAATCAAGATATCTTATAATAAAGGCAGCCCACCAAATATGAGGACAAACCTTTCCAAAAAAGGAGGGAATGATGGAAAAAAGTAAAGTTTTAATTCTATCAAGAAGAGAATCACTCATCAAAAGTAAAAAAACCAAGAAGTTTGGATGCCAAAGCCTATCATTAAAGGATAAAAAAAGGATCAAAACCAATCCACCAAGGTCTTTCAATGTCATCTAGCGACCTAATCACATAGTCCAACAAGAGGCATACGTTCTAGTAGCTTATTTGACTTAATTTATAACATTGCGCTCAATGAACATTATTCCTTGCACATACATTCCAACAAGATGCATACATTCCAATAGCAAAACTCTCTTGTATTCAATGACATTTTCATTTATGCAATTTTCACTTAATTTAAAGTAATTAATTGATTTATAATTGATTGTTTGATGAACTAATCACTTACCCTATTTAACCGTCTTTAGATTGATAACCTAGTCTTAAATTATGGTTCAATCAATTTTCATATATGCTTCTAGATGTTAGGAATATAACAAGGATGTATAAGTAGAATAAAGTCTTAATCATAATTTAGATGAATCATACACTATCACTAACAAGTTTCACACTAGAATATATTAATTTATGGGTAGTGAAATAAACCTAGTGTACCATAAAGAATACTTCCAAGAAATGATCATCTAAAGCTTCAAATTTAGAAATAGATCTAACACAAGAGAAGAGGAATTTGTAAACACGAAAATCACTCTTTCGATAACTTAAATTAAATTCTATGTTAGCTTTACAACACTCTCAACTTCTACACTCATACTTCTTACACAAACAATTTTACATCATATCCAACTAGTTAAAACATTATTATTTTTGACAAATCCCTATAAATAAATACTTGTTTACTACAACAATTCAGTATAATTACTAGTGTATTACAAGCTATAACACAATCATATGCAGTCTACCATGAGCAGAAGCTAGTTTATTAATTGAAATCAATATTACTTGCTCTATCTTAAATTTATGTTGTGTTTAACCAATTTAACACAACTCATGAGTTATTAATCAGTTTTATGCTTGCGTTTAAACATGTTTAACACTATCAAGATGATTCAATGAGCTAAATTGAGTTATTTTTAGTCAGTGGTATTGTAGTGTATTTTATCAAAACATGCATGCTAATACATCACTATATTGAATGCATATGTAAAATTGGGTTAGCAGTTTAGACACCTAAAATACAGGAGCTACACCAAACCCATTATGAAACTCTAAGCGGAGAGCAAATATGTCATACAAAAAGCATAGGATATAGAAGGTGGAATTTCATGGCACCAAAAACTAACATGACTTCTAATCCTAAAATAGTAATCAACACATTCGTTTACTTCTCTACAGATGTTAGATATTCTTCAAAATCTCCATACAATTCAGCCACCTATTTCTAGGCATTTGTGTGTATTACTAGTATTACTAGTATTTTATCAAAGCAAAAATCAGGTACACATTTAAAATGGTAGTATCTAAAGCCTCAAACCCTGCGGAAATATATGGCAAGCTCAACCCAAAACTCAGGAGAAATTAAGATTAAAGAAAAGACGAATTTGACAAAATTGTTAATAACAAGAAATAAACATTAGAATAGAGTGGGACATATATACTCCATAAAATGCAAGTAACTATCTAATTTTAATAATATGATCGTGACCATCCATCTACCTGCACATCCCCGTTGATTACTAAATATAAAGTGCCAGATTTTAAGGCATCTCTTTCACCTTCCCTCTCCCACATCTGGAAGACAAAAACAAGAGGAGAAAAAAAAATACAATTATGAAACAGCCAAAAGTCAATGAGCTAGCTCCCACATATTCCAGACAATGGTCCTTTCTGTGCATAGCTGGGGCTGTGATCTGCGAAGTAAATTTCATTGTTGCTCTGGAGCTTAGACTTTCTCTGAGATTTGGATGAACATGAAACGCATATAATTTTGCATGCTCTTGACAAATGAGAAAAGCCGAAACCAACAAATTCTAGGCAGAGGATACAGTATCACCTGCGTATTCTTGTAACAATATAGTGTCCCTTCTCAAGGTCATATACCGTCTTCAATTGTGGCTTTCTCCATTGCATAACAAAGAATGCAGCAAGTATGATTAAGAAAAGAAATGCAAATAATGAAAAATATGTGACTGACTCATTCCCTACTATCATCCCCGTATCTATATGTTCCAATTCAAGGGGTTCTCCCATTGTTTCAATTATGAAGGATCCGAGTGTCCAATCTACATGACTGTTAATCTTCTCGTTCCCAAATCCAACCCTGCAGATAAGTACCATCTTAATAGTTGTTTTGTTACCTTCTATGAAAGGGTTAAGGAGTGAAAATCAAAAGATGGAGTCAAGAGCAGTGGAAGAAAATTCAATAATGACTTCAAATTATAGCTTTGACTTCATATACTCAACAATCACAAGGCGGAGAGCAAAATATGATAACAGATCCTTATATTTTTTTCAATTATACAGGGGACAGCACGATTTCTTTTAATCTCAATCAAAGCTACAAATTAGTATATTTTAAAACTGGCATGCACTTATGAAAAAGGAAAGTTGAATAATGAAAAAGGGAAACCTTACTACTAGTTAAATTGTGAGCTAATTTTTTTCTTTTAAAATTGAAAATATGATCAATAAGAGAAAACTTGTACATATCAAAGTCCAGATTAGGAAAACTGGACCAAACAGTCGGACCATAAAACCAATAAATCATTAGGTGAACAGTTCAAGTAAACAAAATCGGCCAAAAGAATATATGTAGAAAGAGTAGTTAATACATTATCATTTTAACCTTTTCTGAAAAAATAAAACCTCAAATATATGTTTTCTTTTCTATTTTAAATATAAACTAGTTATTATTAGTAATATTGATGTATATTGAGAACTGAATTTTAAGCATAACTCAATCTCACAAAACCAGAGTTTGTAAGGTATCGTTCCGCTTCTCTCGACCAAGTGACCATCGCACTATTGATATTGCCATGATCAAAGTCTTCACCTGCTCTCAGATTGTTCGACATTTTGCTTCGCAACTACTTCTTATTGTGCATGCGGCGTGTGACAGGCCTTCTCCAATTGCGATCACCGTAATTGGACTCGCTGTCTCTCCCTCTTTTTGGATCTAGATAATCGGACCTCTATGGTTTTTTAAGGTTTTCGTTTCTCTCTCTTCTTGCATGGCTTCTTCCACCGCCTCTTTTGATACCAAGGCCAATCTACTCGTGGTTAATGAATTTCTCAAATGGTATGAGGATAGTACCACTACTTTTGTTGCACGCACATGTATATCTTTTGTTAGCCTAAGTCAATGATAGCAATAGCCCTATAAGCGGACCCAAATACTGTTGAATAGGCCTAGCGATGCCAACAGAGGAAATATGAGAGATAGGCCTAGTAGGAAGTATAAGATGCCAAAGTAAAATAAAGGGAAATAGGGAAACTAGGAAAGTAAAATAAAATAAAGATTATATATCTATTTCATCTAATTAGGAAGATTCTAAAGATATTATCTCAAATTACAACACTCCCCCTCAAGCTGGATCATACAAGATTGTATGAACCAAGCTTGGAATAGTCAAACTCAATTGTAGAGAACGTCGTCAATAAACCAAATTGGACAGCAATGGACGAGGGCGAACTAGCACCATGAAACTTCAACTTGGACAGTAATAGACAAGGGCGAACTAGCACCATGAAACTTCAACTTGGACAACAATGGACGAAGGAGATTTCCATAAAAAATGGATGATGACTTGTAGCAGCAAACAACAACAAACTACAAGAACAGATGAAGGGCCTCCAATGGCGAACAACAACAAACTGCAGGGACTGGATTGCTATCAATAGTGGCGAACAACAACAAAACTTCAAGAACATGATTTCCATGAGTAACATATGGGAGGCCTTCAAAGGCTAACAGCCACAAACCTGTAGGGACTTAACTACCCATACAGCAACAAACCTTCAGGGACTTAATTGCCCTAAACAGCAACAGACCTGCAGGGATTACACTACCCTGCAGCGACACTAAAAGGCTAACAACCACAAACCCATAGGGACTTAACCACCCTACAATGGCTGAAACAGCAACAAACCTTCAGGGACTAACTACCCTGCGGCGGCTGAAACTTTTCTTCCCCTCATGACTAAACGACATATGCACGCCAATGACAAAACGTGAAGGTGGAAGAACTGGTGAGAACCAATCCGTACTTGGGGACAAATTTGAAACCCCTAACATCGAACGAGCCAAATCAGTGGGCGATCTCATAGAACAACTCTCAATGAGCTGTTACAACAAGGCATTGGTAGAAACCAAAAACACCAAAGATTGGGACTTAGGATGGCATCAAAAGGCCAAAGACAGGGTGGAGGTCCAAAGTTCTCTGCTGGACTACTCCTAAATGCTTAGCTTTGTATCACACAAGAAGAACATACTAAACTTGAGCCCAAGAAGAAATGTGATGCAGTGGCGTCGAGAGAATGGTGGAGACAGGTCAGTGGCTCACAAGTTAAATCAACGGAGCAGCAAGGAAAGGAAGATTGCTCGCTTGGTCCTAAGAAGGAGCGTGCATGGATTCCAACTCCTCCAAGTTGGATTAGAGGTGGAACACCCACTGTTCAAGGGTTGTAGAGAGATTGACAGTAGCTCGCAAAGCGACGAGACTCCTGTCTGTGGCGACAGCGACTGACTGCAGCAGCGATTGAATGTGCGAGCGCCGACTGTGGCATTAGCGGCATCAAAGTAGCGGAGACGACGGCAAAAAGCACCAATCAGTGTCGCACAAGAAAGGGCAGAAAAGGCAAGAACAGCAACACAGCACGGCGTGAGGCGAAACCCATTGGTGGAGGCAGAGAGCCCTTCGCAATGGAGAAGAAAGAAGTGACGCAGTGGGTCGAAAGTGGACTAGGCATCGAAAGAGGTCTCCCTGGTCATGAAACGTGAGGTGAAACCAATTGGTGGGGGCAGAAACTAAAACGCAGTAATGAGAGGGAGGACCGACGATGCAGAAGCATGCGGCGAGAAGACGAAGGTTCTGTGAAGACAATGAAGATGGCAGCAACGGCGGCTCTAGAGGGTCAGAACAGAGAGATGAAAGTCCGGCAAGACGACCAGTAGCGGAGCGGTGTGATTCTGTCACCAGGACGACAGCGCGTGACAAACATGCACCCAAGACCAGCTGAAGAAAGGTGGCGCGTTGAGAGGAGTCTAGTTCTGACTCCGGCGGGGTTGACCGTCGCTCGAGGAGACAATCCAGATCCGCTGGTCACCGGTTGAAACTGTGACAGTGGCCGGCGGCAGACGGTGGCCGGAGGCGGATGAAGGACGACAGTGGTACACAGCGTAATTATCAGTGAAGGCAATGGCCTTTCATGGTTCCCTGAAGGCAATGGCCTTTGATTGGCAGCCAATGAGAATGCCAAAAAAGGATTGGGCATCATTAAAATACCCATTCTGAGATAAATTCTGGAAATATGGCATATAGCTAGGTCAGATTTTAACTGGAAGCATAGCTTATAGCTAGGCCAAATTATGGAAGCACAACACAACTTTGTGTAGCTGTTATCAAAAAAAAAAACAAATGTATTTGGTAATTGTTAGATGTTAAGTTGTGTGTTTCTATTAATTGGGCTCAACCATTCTGTATTAAGGGCATTGACCCATATCTTACATTATAAATAAACTACCCTATGTGTATGCAAAAGACACAAGGGATATTTTCTCCCAATCTTCTCTATTTCTCACATGGTATCTAGAGCATAGGATTAGTTCCAGCCAATTCCACGGTCTCCGGCACACATCATCGCCGCCATCGCTGTCGCCGCTGCCGTCGTCGCCGCAACCGCCGCCGCCGTCGCCGGAGTTCCAAAATCGGCCGACGACCACACCATCGGAATTTTCGTCTTGGCCTGGCGACCACCGTGGTACAAAGATCGCGGCGAACGGACCACCCACGCGCTTCGCATGCTGGCGCATCGCCGATCAGAACCGCTGTGATCGCCTCTTCGTCCTCTTTCTGGATCTGTGGTCGTTGCGTCAATCGGAGCACTTTGGATTTTTAGGGTTTCTCCTTCTCCATGGCATCTTCCTCGTCTACAAACACCTCTGTTGGTGGCTCATCTTCTGATCCCTCAATATACACC